ACTCCTGACCTTGTGGAAAGGCAACGGTAGTGCTGAACGTTGACGTTACCAGCCAAATTTAAACGCTGCGACCTTGGCCTTTGTCAGTCCAGCAGAACTAGCACCTAATACAATATGGTGGGTGTTCAGACAGCATTCCGGATGTTTCGATGGATCCAATAAATTCTTCTGCATACGTGACTTGTCTCTGTGCCTGTCCACGTGACAACGTGGAGATTAATCGTAATAACAAGGCCTGCAGTAGGTGGATGGGAAACTGTATTATTATATAAAGAATACTGCAAAGTGGAGGAATATCGGCCACCACAGTCTTGAGCTCTGTTATACATCAAAGCGGCGGCGCGAATGAAACTGGCTTTTGATATGAATTCTGGGAGGAGAGAGAAGTGTGTACATGCCGTCTTCCCTAATTCTCCAGTGGAGAACTTACCGCGAAAAGTTCGTCACCGAGCAAGTGAATTGATTCGAAATTACGTTGAGTTTCTTGGCACAGGTATGTAATCGGTAACCAGTGCCGGGATACTCATTTCGACTTGAAAGAGACACACACCTTTTGCATCCGAAGTGAATATTGGGACAACGGCACCGTGACCGCTCGTTCGGCAGCGATCCCGTTGGGGATGGTTAATATGAGAAGTAACATTGCCACTGATTTCAAGCGTTACCTCTGACGGTTACGTAAGCATTCACGTGCCTTTCCACGTTCATATTTCAGTTGGTAAGTCCGCTTGCATATCATAGAAGCTATTTGTATGATGCGTTATTTATACAGAGGACTTAACCGCTGTAACGATGATTTACCAGACATTTATTAAAGTCCATCGATCAGTAGGACTGCGAAGGAAACACTCTGGATAGGATTTGTTGAAGCATCTGTGCTAAGTGTTAAATTTCGAGACAGGCAAATCGGATATGGAATTCAGGGTTCAAAAGTTAATCATCTCTTCGGACACTGATATTAATTCAATTAAGGCAATTGATCCACTGTTGCTTTCATAGTTCGAATATCAACGTATAACTTGAATAATTTAATTTAGCTGTTTCTGAGATGTCAGTTTCCCCGTATCATTCTAAACAATCCATTGGGTAGGTGAGTGTTGAAAAAATGAGGTCGTTTCTGTTGTGTATTCGGTCAACATGCTTGTCGGCTAGTCTAGACAGACACATGTACACAACCCCAGACGTACAGATATAAGTGCATATTTCTCTGCTTCTCAAATGGTTCATCCTTCTCCTTGCGACACCTTAATGTGCTCGCGTAGTTAGACACTTATCAGCTCATAGTAGTTTGTTTACCGAAGCGACCTTCTTAGTTCGGTTCGTGCATTTGTCTTTATGTACCCAACATTAACATCGGGGCTTACAAACCTGCGCTAAGGAATTACATCCTCCTACAGTTTACTGGTCTGATCCGACCTTACGTCCTACCGAAAGTGCATGGGCCCAGTGGAAAACCTCGTTTACAAACTATCTTGGCCTACTACGTGCGGCTTCTAAGTACGCTGAAGGCCAGCAACTGAAGCATCGCAGACACCTACTCGGTGATGAGGGACAACATCAATTTGATGCTTTAGAGCTCCAGTCTCGAGATAACTTAAAGTAAGCACTAGAAGTGCTGGAGTAGTCATAAGGCCAGCGTACAAACCTCTTCATAGCTGGCCTCAAATTCGGCCGACTTACACATGAACCATCGAAAATTCTAGGCAGTTTTCTTGATCGCCTCATTCGCGCTGCACAACCCTGCGAGTAGCCAACCATACCGAAAAATAGAATCGATGGGTCATGCTAATGCAGCAGTTGATTAGTGGAACCACCAATAACTGAATTCGGGAATGCCTACTTTCCGAAGACGCTTTCACAATGACTTGGATAAGATTGTGGAATTAGCTTGCCTCAAAACATGTACGGCAGAACATTTGCGATGTTCGGCTACCCACCTATATATACAGGAGGCTGCCAAGATCCGTCGCTTACCAACCGAATCCTAAGTCCCACAGAAATCATTTCGCTGAAGTATTCTATAGCATAAAGTTACTTTTACCAAGTGCCCTGCCTTAGAATTAGACTGTAAAAAGTGCGGTAAGCGTAGACATTTTCCAGTTGTTGTCTTTCAGTACGCATTTCTCAGTTGCATTCTGCAAATTCCGTTTCTAATCAGCAGTTACAGTTATCAGAAAATGACTTTTCCTTTGATAACAGAGGTACGGTGTCCAACTATCGTTCCACTTGCCCAAAGCCTAAACTCCCTATTACTGACATTCGTACCGTTACAGTTATTGCGCGCGACAGAACAACACATGTTGACATGGAACTTGATTCAGCCTCTCCTAAATCTATAGTGCCGATTAGTTTTTGACTGTCACCTACATGGCATGCCTACACATCCTTTAGCCTATCGATTTGACGGTGATACAAAGGCTCCGGTAGAAATATGATGATTTGTGGTGATTGTTTTGCAACTTCGGGCGTGAAATCCTCAGTTGCTGTGCAAGTCACTCGCGGAAATAACCGTCCCCTACTCGGACGCAACGTTATGGTTGCACTGGCTACAGCAGAGGCAATCGCTACCCGACTCCAAAACCCGGTACTATATGCTCTAAAGAAACTCGTACAGGCCATTCACCTGCCCTGGCCACAGCCCGCCCCGACTAACGAGGATGAGCACGTTATGTCACCTGCTTCGACCTTGAGTTGGCCAAGACTATAGTTATATTGATCAGAAATGTAGTTCCATTTCTTTCATCATGGCATATGATTAATGGTTTAACCCATCATATCGTGGTGTAATAGCTTGAAGGTGAACCACTGAAAACGCTCTGGTTCGCTACATCTTACTTTTCTCCTGAATATCATGTACACGTTGTTTGGAACTAGTTACTAGTTGGCCCAAACACGGTGGAGCAGAATGCGGTGTAACGCTCGTCGCTTGGTAGATGTGTTGTGCTGCCCCAGTCTCAAATATCATCTCCGCCAATTGCGCCTTGGTTTCACGGTACCCGGGGAGAAGTTGGGCCTCAGGCCCCAGAATTCGAGGAAAGTTAAAATCGCCCATAAGCAGGAAGCGGGGGCGGCTCATGTATCTTCAGACATACGACGACCAATCCAGACATCGACTTTGCGGGTTGCTATAAGCTGCACCCACAAACAATTCACTCCGTCTCAGGCGGATCGAGCTCTATAGCTGCTCGCACAAGCCATCTTCGCTTCGGTATGTGTTTACAAGTCTCCCGCAAATCGAGGACCGAGTGCATAATACCACGCAACCATGTTCGTTTGATAGTTTGTCGCGCCGGAAGGAGAAGTATTCACTGATCCAATGTTGCACCACGCTTTTGGGCTTGTATGCTGGCTCCCCGTAACTTATGGAATTCTTGGGTACTGAGCTCAAGCTTTAACCAGGTTTCAGCCAGTACTAGTACGTCCGGACGACGAGAACAAACGAAGTGATATATATCGTCAGGTTGGCTCAGAAAACTAAAAGCATTTGTGAAGGCTACACGCAGGCCGCGGTTGGAGCCGCCTGACGCACATGAAGTTTCATCGACCTGTTGATCCACGTTCCAAGGACCCGGGGAACTACTCAAAAATCTACAAGGCGACCACTACTTTCCCCACTATCGCTACGTCGCTACACCTTAATAATAGCGCTTTTCATTTTCTCTCAGTCCGACGCATGTATATCTAGACGAATTTGAATCTTCAACTCTTTTAGCCTACCGAGGCGGAATAGTACCAACCTCGGGCACGCTTCATCTGCAAGGCTGACTCGTAGAGGCGGGGTCTTTCCCTCCTCCCTTTTGCCAAGACGGGTGATTTACTATCCCCGCAACTCTTGTTCACCCACTTCGAGGAGTCTATCAACCAGGTTGTGCACAAATTCGATGTGAGCATAACGGGCCTGAGAATTGGTATCCGTTGTCTCAGGCGCGTGAAAATCATAAGATTGCAAGGACGCTGGTCGCTGGCAGTTGTTCTCTCCTTCTTATTTCGTTGCGTATGTCATTCGCCTACTTCGCTTGGGTTATCGCATACCGGGTTACCATTGCCTGTCGGACGCAACACAAGCACGTCATCTGAACCTACAGTAGCGGATGGACATTGTACTGGAGAGTCCACAGTCGGCGGGAAAGTAGGCTCGTTCAAACTTGGGAGTGGCCAGGTGTCACCCTTCTTATGTGTACACACTGAGCTTCTCGCTTTGGAACGCTTTGACTGCTTTGCTGGTTTGCGATGTTTATCGTCTTCCTCCTGTTGCGTGTTACTCTGGCATCGCTTTCAAAATACTTGGACATAATCGTTCCTAATCTTATGTAAAAGCTTACTGCTCAGCGACAAGACCAGTACACGAAATATGAAAATTGCACGACACAAAATACAAATAACGGCATTAGCTCGATGTCCAACAATTTTGTAGCAAGAACCGCAGGGTGTTTGCTTTGTCATTATTACGATCAATATCCAGGAAGACAAAAGGTTCGATCTATGGACAATACTCAACTATATGAAACAGATGTAGCTAGTACACGACTTTGTGATAGCTAAATTCAGAATCGAAAACGAGGCCGAATTTAATAGCAAATGACACAAGAACAATGCATTGCACAATGGAAAAAGGAAGCAAACTGGCCTGCAGTGAAGTATAAAAGGTTGATCGGCCAGCGCTATACGCAGTCGGGTAAAGCATTCACGCGCTTCAGCGAATTGGTGAGTCATTACGTGTATATTGCAAGCGATAACCGTAAACGTCAAGTTCGAGTCAACTTTATGACCTGTACTGAGTAAGTGTTCAATGATCGATGAGATTGCCATGTAAAGTGTACCACTCGTCCCCTGTTTGGGTGAGGCCTGAAGAAGTCTGAAAATGGACCATGTTAACACCTAGTGCGCAATGTATGACAGGGTATTTCCAACACTGAATGACCTTGAGTTGCAAACCCTAAAATAAATTTTAGTCAATGGAAAACGGTGCTAAATTAAATGGAGATGGTTCGCCCGCTTACTTTGTGTTTTATTCGGCTGAGTATTCTGACAATATTGCCATCGGACCCACCGAAAGCAAAGTGGTTCTGACCGATCCATTTGGCAACGTAACCCTGGAGTTAGAAAGAAAACGTTATTTGAGTATAAGGTTCCAGGAAGCAGAACGCCGGCACACTGTACCGACGCTTCGCTGCCATGCGACCACCACCAGTCACGCGTGGCCTGAGTATACCGCGAGGACGCCCTCCTTTACTCGGATTCGAACCCCTTCACTAAGGATTACAGGCCAGGCGTGCAATACTTTCGACCATTGGCAGACTCATTGTTTGGAATTGAAGTACTCACCGCTTGTCTAAATTGAGACAAGCAATCTCATTTGTCACGATTCGTTTGTTTACCTACTTAGCTCCATCAACGCCAATGGTTCACTGCATAAGATCTCTACATGTCTCTAAAGCTCTGGTAGGTTTTGCTAGGCACCTCCATCTCGAGTTGTGACACAACCTCATCCTGTCTTTGTAGGACCTAGTCTACAATGACGCGGTGAGAGTGGTCCTGTTCTATGATCACGAGACTTGATTATCCGCGCAAAAAATGTTTCAAGCATGTCGGTGTCTGAACACTGCTGCCTTTGGAGCGCTGTTGGTGTATGTTGGCAACATCACATTGCTAATGATGATGTTTGTTGACGGTTCTCAGACCAGTCATACTCCGTCGATTCCTGTTCTGCCCTATCACACAAACTACTGTGGTTGAAGCACTTGTTTCGCATGACTTCGTAGTGCTTACCTGCCTGTGCTCTCTTTGAGCGTGCGGAAATCGGTTTTAAGTGAGTCCACATGGCCAACGAAAGGCTTGGGACAAAGTTGGCCGTTCACCAGAGCTCATTCGTTCCAGGCTGGGGGCGTCATGACCAAGGAACACAGTTGTCTTGAATTTCTCTCAGGCATAGCGAGAACTCTCTCTCTCTCAGTGGTAAATATGCAATGAGACTTTACTTTTAAAACAACGATTTTGCAAACTTGATCCCCCTCTTTCGTTCATATTGTATTCATCCATATGTTGAGATACTCTGCTAATGGTATTATTTTAGGCCAGTGGTTGAGTATAGAAATAATAAATGGGTATACTTTCCAACATGCGGGATACGCTCAATTTGTAAAACGATTAGTTGTATAGCGAGTTCCATCAATATATTTTATGAGCATTGTGTTCAACATGGATCTGTGTTGAATGTGGTCCTACAGTCAAAACATATGGTAACACGGATACTTAGATCTCGAAGTCGCTTATGAGGCTCGTCGAAACAAACCCTTAAAGCCGCAGTGAAGATCTTGCCTAGTCTGGCGACGAAACGTCTGTAAAATACTTATTCATGTTGGAAGCGAGGCAAAACCCACATCCACACCTCTAGCTACAAATGTCCTTAACCATTTCGAGGCCTAGTATTAAGCAGATGGTTGGTCATTGCAATCAAATCACTTCTGTCCAGCGGGGTGCCGGGCTAATTCAGTAGATGCAGCTTGCTTCCTTTTTCCAATTCCTTGCTCGTGTGCCTGATATAAATAGCTTCACATGACCATGTAGACCAGTAGGCCGCAACTGATTGGTTTCTCAGACACTGATTTGCATGTACAGGTAACTAAGGATTTGATAGTGAAAACAGCGTTAAGTTGTTCTGCAGTGAATTTATACCAAATCTTCGGCTCTTGTGTAGTATCCAAGGATTTAGCAAAGCGTATCGATGAATATCTATCGAATTTGCTCATCAACCAGAGGGATAGAAGCAATTTAAGAACTTTAGCTGAATATCTGGTCAGCACTGCGTGTGCAGCTTAATAACGTAAGGAGGTTGAAAGCCTGTGTAGAACGCATTCACAACTAAGCCGTTAATTGGGAGCAAGGCTGCTTGCTACTGGTGAAGCAAGCCCCAAACTCTGCGTTCATAAGAAGCTAGACAAATAACTGTAACTTCCTTGGGCAACAGTCGTACGAGAAGACTCAGATCCCGCCTGTCAATCCCACTTGCCACCAATCACCTGATTACTTAAGGCGTGTCACGGGAACTGCCTAATTTTTCCGGCCAATGGTCAGCTCATATGCTCTCCCATGGAACTGACATTTCTTAACGCATACTTTGGTGTTAATCCTGATGGGGAATAAATTGAAAACAACTGTTTACTTAAAACGTATTGTTTACGTTTTACTCGTACGTAACCTCCGATCTAACATCCTGTGTATAGCGTTAGGGTCTTGGTCACTCTCTTGGCTGCCATTTTGCTTGCGTTCTTAGAACATTAATGGTGCACGGTTAGAGTAGAATCTGCAGTGCATTTTGATGTTCCGGGGGATATGTTGTCTCTAGAAGCACACCGCTTATCGCTTTCAGTTTATGCTCAGATGGCATCCTGTCATGAAAAATTTGGCGGTATTTCAGTAGCCGTTCTGCCATTCGTTGTGATTAAAGTAAACCTTTATTACCCCTGGGCCGCATGCTTTGTACTTCTGTGATGTGTGTACCCGTGAGGCCGACTTTACGAGCTTGTTAGTCAAAGGAATGCCTCCCGCATGTAAAATCACTTTTCCTTATCATGAGTCATTAAATCACACTCATGGCATGCTTCAGCTTCGAGAACGTTAAAGGTAAAATGATTCGAGCTGAATTCCCTTTCGGTGGCTTTCTAGCCTGCAATTACTCTGGTAGCGCTCGCCCCACTAGCACCCGAAAAGACGCGAATCGACCAGTGCTTAGTTCTAGGACAACCTGCTGACAGCAAGACTGAGATATTTTTGTGACGGAGCTTAAGATAACCAAGAGAAATCTTGGCTCTCAGTAGCGGTTGATTTACTTGTTAACGCACAGCAAGAAACTGTCACTGGTTGCGTTGATAGAACCCCTTTCCTCTTTTATTTCCAGTCTGGCAGATAGTACCGCTAAGGTTTAATGTCGGATTTACCCAGCAGCAACCGCAACCCAACTTTCAATTCCACCGGCTTGCTCTATTGGTATAGGTTCATCTCGAAGTTTGGACAAAGTCTTGCGTATAATTAGTCCGATTAAACTGGAAGCCATCTGATTGGTGGCACATAAATCAGCCGTGATATTGGAACGGTAGTTGCGCTTGTGATTTACTGGCATCATCTTATAAGTAGTTTTACAGGCATTTCTTCTCCGCTTTGGAGCAGCGCTTATTGAATGGGCATAGGTAGCAAAATCCGCCATGATTTCTTCCACTGCAGTGATGCTAGTGGTCGCCATATACGCAAGTTTGGATGGGACTTGTTCGTGCTTCTAGGTTGGTAAGTCGCACATTGTTATCCGTGTGATAGGCGCAGAACCAGAGAGAGTTAAATTTGTTGTTCTGCAATTGTATTTGGCTTTGTAACAGTTTGGCGTGTTTAGTACCGAAAATATTGTAATCCTTAGAACACGAAAAACTGCTTTTGACGACTTTGGCATGTATACCTTCAGGCTGAAACGCGCTCGGTGGCGTCCCCATTAAGCAATGGTTGCGATCCATCTTAGCGGCTCACTCTTGATAGTCGGCTTTGTTTTCGCTTGTCACTTACATCGAGTAGCACTAGTAAGGGTAAGGTCACAGAGTTTGTCTGGCGCCGACGAGGCTGTGAGGTCTACAAACCATGCATTCATCTGATGTGTCGATGTGGCATCTGCGCGAGCTGAGTTCACTTGTCTACTCCATCTAGCCAAGGCAATGTGTCAGTCCAGCACCAAGCTAGTTATCAAACAAACTGTGTTCCTATTGGCTGGATCCACTAGAGCTAGTGTATGTCCGTTAACGCCAAGCTAATCATTAATTAGAATGCCAACTTATGCGAAACGTATGCGTATGGCGAGACAGAATACATTCGGTGTACTGCTGAAATTGATGTGTTCTGCCGTCGTGCCCTACGGGCCGAATACTGGATTCTACTAAGAGTCGTGATTCAATACGGGCCGAGCTGTAACAGCCGACTGAATGCTTCCGTGTAGTCGTGCGGTCGGATCATACGACGGCGTAAAGGACCGAGTTGTGTGGCCAGGATTTTTGCTTGCCCCTGGTCAAGTTGATAGGTGATGAGCAGCACTAAAGCAGCGACTAGACTGAGAGCGGCCGGCGGCAGAAAATTGCAAAGCACTCCGTGATTACTCCAGTCAGTGATGAAACGGAACGGGTCACAGGCCTGTTCGAACACCTTTGTAATGCCCTGTGGAATACACTAAGAATGCTTTCGACGGATGCAATAATGCAAAGTTGTAAGCATGGGTATTTGTGCAAGACTGCCCCAAGTTAGTGGTCCTGATTAATCTGAGATGCACTGGTTCTGTTCCTGCGAGAATGACTACGCGACAACGCTCGTTAATCCAAAACGAATGAGTTTAAATCCAGTGATGGATGATTAACTGTTAAGAAGTATATGCATGAAAAGAGGGATGCAAAAATGTGCTAGTTTCAGCGGGTATGCGAGCATATGTTGTGTCTCCCACAGGTCTATAGGTGGAATTGTATCAAGCTTACGTATGACAACCGTCTTCGGGATGCTTCCGCTGATGGACGTCCAGTGCAAAAAGACACTCAACGGTAATAGCAAAATCCTTTAGGGATAGATTGTCAAGTATCTTAAAGAATCTGGTCACTTTTATTGGGCCTTCTGGCTTATGATGAACACCTTGCTGCTACGTAGATAGGCACTTGCCGTGAAGCAAACTAGCACATGGTTAAGTCCAGAACTTGGGATACTCAAAGATAGACATGGAGTGATTCCGGGCACTGTGTTGCCTGATAACTGCCGAGGTTACCATATGGCTTAAACACGGGTGGTCACCCGAGTTTTGCAGTGTGGGAACATAAGGATCCTGTGTTCGAATTGTTAAGCTAGCGAGTATGAGAAGTTGGTTTTTAAAGGGGTTTAGCTAATCATTGAGGCATAATGTGACGCATTCCCCGAATCTTCCTCAGGTGAACTTCATAACGTGTGCTGAAGTATTCGGGGACTAACACAGATAATGCCTACCAAACCTACGGGTGCATGGATGAGGACATTGTTCTTGCGTGGGATTGCAATTTTCTCATCACTAGAACATCATCTGAGTGGTCTAAACTTCTGTGGCAACTTTTCTGTCTTTTTCACTTAAACCTTGGTGATATGGACGCAAAAACGGAGAAAACACAGTATACATTGTCCAACTTTGTTTTACAGAATGTTTTATCTTGGATCGTCTCACCTTGCTGCGCAATTCCATGGCTTCTTGTGGAAACTCCATGAGTGGCTTCTCCCGAAGGATTGCATCAATCTCTTGCCTTTCTTTTTCAGCGACACTGTATTGATTCTCAGAATCGGTTACCCTTGATCGTGCAAGCCTGACAACTTTTTCATTAAACTTCCAAATCTAAAAGTAAGAGGTCATTGTGTGTACCGGCTTGAAAACACTGTAGCCCAATATTGCCTGGCCGTTGGGTAGTCATCCTTGAACAAACAATATCTGGACACCTAGATTAGTCATAGATGCGCTTTGTGAAGGACTGCAACCAAGAATCAACTTTCTATTTCCGTTATATGGGAGAAGCACACAAGCACATCACACTTTGTCCGTGGTGCAGGGTTTGCGTCTGTATTGTCTGGCAGTGTGAAAAAGATGTAAAACTGGACATTTCAAATAAATGTAGATGTAGTTTGTCGTATTCCCATCTTAGTCAGACAGGGTCCCACATGTATGGCAAAACACCGGACAGTTTCTTCGAACTTCTGGGTCTCCTCAACTGGACCTTTGCCGCGCTCTGACCTCATGACTTTCACATGCCAGCAGTTTGTGACACTAAGCCATGGATGATAGCAGCGGACCTGCGTGGTTGACAACTGACTGCGATGTAGCGCGGCTCATTGTTCACTGCCAGGCTATGCAACGACTAAATCTAAAATCATACCCAAACTTCACTACTCATTAGTAGTCAAAACTCTACCTGAACAGCTTCTAAGTCCTGTATCGTACACGATCGCTGTGCGAAGGTCAGAGCATTAGGGCCTACCACTGTCCTCTGTACAGTTCGCAAGTGGCATGACAGTAGAGGAGGAGGCGGGCTATATCGCAGTTAATTGGCTGCCATGCAGGTTCGCCGCTGCCACTCATGAACTGGTGGCACAAGCTGTTGTTATCCGGAAGTCATGAGGTCGGAACCCGGCGTGGGTCCGAGGAACGCCCACCCCTGATGAGACCCGAGAGGTCGAACCAATTGACTGGTACATTTCTAGACGTGGAAATGCACATTCAGTATTAAATTTCAACTAAATATATGTGCCATCCTTATGCTGTCGTCGGCAGGTACAGAGATATAGAGGTAGCACCGCAAACCAACTGGTCCAATGAAGTTGGGATGGTTAGAACTAGTCAAAAATGTGAGTCACTGTGAGTTCTGCTCAGCGCTGTTCCGCGGTTGTGCGAGCAAGTTCCAGTGATCGGCCAAACCACAGAACAACTGAAGCAAAATGCTTACGGAATAATCTTTAGAGGCTCTGTTTGTACGAGAACCAGTGGGCGTAACAATCTGCATGACGGCTTGCCGCAGTACTGGAAGTCGTGAGGTATTTCTGGACAACTACAGACATTGCACTACGTCCCAACGATGAAGCAACTCAAATTTACGGTTTGTTTCATCGTGTTTTATCCAGCTTACTCGTTACTTACCTTGGTACTTGTACATCCCGCTCAAAGCAGCCACTACGTTGATGAAAGCCCCATCATGAGCCACTATCTGCATTGCAAATCCCTAGACTTGGTGATGATGTGGCTGAACAGCAAAGCCACTGATATTCAGAGCACCACACTAGTTATATCTGCCCTAGTTTGTGGATGTGGTGTAACGTGTACTACCACAGTGACCTGCATTTCCAGTCGGTTGCTGCCCTAGGGATTTATACCAATGCTTTCCCTTGGTGTTACCTGCAGTTTATACGTGGTGAGGCACGTTTAGTAGCAGTTATGAAATATCGTCAGATATTCATACTAGAACAGGAGAACCGTTTGCTTCTGTTGATAAAAGCGTGCTGATAGGTCCTTCTAGGGAGAGAATCCAGCCTGCAGCAGTAGAAGCAGAGGCTTCCCTAAGAGAACAATGGAAGACTGCGTTGGAGTAGCTAACCATTCAGTCCCTGTTATGTAATTCAAACCTGGAAAAAACTGGCCATGGTAGATCTCGTGCTCACAAGTGAGTAAAATAGGATTGGTGCGGTAGAAAGTGTGAGCAATTCTTTGGGTTGTACTAATCACGAGACCCAGTTGCCTTGATAAGTCCATTAAGCTGAGGACCGCAAGCCCAGAACAAGGTAAACATCTTTTCTCACCTGATCAGAGCTACCTGTTTGTCGCTGTTAGCTGGTTAACCTTCTGATGTAGCTTGGAGGAATTGGTCAACAATCTCAGTACGTTTGCATAATAAATTTGATTCCTGCAAATAAATCTGTTTTTATCTAGAGGCGGTGTAGGTTCCCTGCCTGGGAGCGATCATTCGTACAGAAAAGTGGCGTTTGAGTCTTCGTATCTTAAAACACTGAGAAAAAATAAAACATTTGCTACACATGAATAATCTTACAAATCAGAGACCCGGTCACTTACCGTACATGCATACAATAGGAAGGCTTGCACAACTGTTTTCAACTTTATCAGTTGACAAAACTCGACAACAGTTAATGGCAGGATGGGGAAGATTAGGTGGCATAGGCATGTGTTTCATTACGTAAGCGATGACAAAGAATGCGTATTTTGGCTGTGGACCCCTAGTTGACAATGTGTTGTCTATGCCAAATTCCGTTAATGCTGCTGGGGATTTCTGTGATCCAAGTACCTTTAGCTTAGTTAATACAGCGAGGAAAGTCTCTAGAGATGTTCAAAATGTGGCACGGTTAGCACTCGCATGCATCTGTAGTGGTAGTCCATTCTGCAGATTGGTATATCTCACTAAGAAGGAATTTGATCGGATCTGATGATTTGCAAGCCATGTGGGTAACAGATGTCCTCCATTAGGGGTAGGATAGATATTAATATTCCGCTGTTCAATGGCGTTACTGTCAATGAAGACCTGCTTATTTATGATGTTAAAGGGGCGAGATTGTTCTTCAATCATCACAGCCTAAGGGGATTTAGTCGTAGGTGACGATAATGATAATAAAACTTAGGGTTGAAAAGCGTCCAATGACCAGCTTAGTAAATCTTTATGGAACATTTTCCAGAGCTATCCTATAGTTCTTTCGTAATTGCTTGTGAATGATAGTACAGTGCTTCAGAGTACATATTACCATAAGTTTGAATACCTGAAGTTGTGTTTCAAGCATGACGAAAATTTTAATGATTTAGTCGGACAACTGTCTGACTTTCGTGACTATGTAGAGCACATATTCAAAGAAACTGATTGTGCTGGAGCACCTAATTCTCAAGTCCCAAAATAAATCCGAGATCATAACAGCGGCAAGAGTGATAGAGCTTTCTGCATTGTGATATCTCTTCCCAATTATTTGGGATTTTCTTGTGCAGAAGTTCATTAACAGGCATTCACTAGATATATTCAGCCCGGATAAGGCGCCAAGCATGCTTTGAAGGCACTGCTGTAATCGTTCTGGCAGATTTCAGCAGACCAGTTTGACGTCAACTGCAAACAGAACTGAACATCCGTGTTTGACGCGGTCGCATATAATGTCTGGGTAGATTACGAAACATAGCGTCCCAGTCAAGCTTCCTTGCAAGACACTGCTGGTTATTCGTTTTGGTGTAGAATATTGCTGACCTAGTCGGACTCTTCGGGTTCGATCGCTTAGGTAGGAATGGAACCAGTTTAGTAGAAAGTCTCCAATTCCATATGACTCTAAGACAGAAACCAGTGGCTTGTGCGGCACGCAATCGGACACCTTTTGTATGTCCAAGAGAATTTTGATGGTGGCCATGCCTCTGACAATCATAGCTGTAACGTGATCGAAGCATTGCAGCTGACAGGTAACGCAATCGCGAGTTAAAAGGAATTCCTGTTGGAAGTGACTGATCAGGTTCACTCTTGTAATAACTTGTACAACCTTCTTCCTGACTACTATTATTCGGGATTTAGAAGCAGCAGAATTGTGGTTTATTAGGCAGTACCTTGACATTTCATTTCGTGAACCATTTTGTGCGCTATGGTGGATTGCCTACGCGGAGATGGGAAATATTCGGTAATTATCGAAGCATGAAAATGATTATTAATTGAGGAGCTACTCTTACCAGCGAGCCTTACGGCAGGTAGAGGGCACAATATACGTCTGGATTGGCTGCGGGTTTTACACGTACCATGACAATCTGAAACTATTTCAATCACACAGGGATATTACAGAGTAGCCTCTTCATTCATGATGGGAGTAAGAGTTGGAGAGACATGTAAGTGCGAATGTAAAAGAGGAATCAAAGCTAGAGTTGATCAACTCGACTATACGATAGATGTCGCGCGTTATTGAAACATCGTCTAGCGTCAGCGTTCCAATTTCATGATGAGGTTTTGGGCTTATTCCTTGTGTGCGACTTGCTTTTCATGTTGAGCATTTGACCTCTTCTCTGTAAACTCAATGTAATTACATTGTGAACCTACATGTTCATTTCCCTTGACAACTGTAAAAGGCTACGGTATGAAACTCCACAGAGAGTTATGATGTTGCAATGAGCCAATTTGGAATGCACTGCATAGTACATGCAGTTCGTTTCACCCATCAATAAGATCGAACAAGGTCATCATTGATATATAATAACTAAAAATAATCAGTGTGGATTCGGGATTGGCCGTCCAGGAGAGTATCAACAGCATTCATGCAAATAACTGTGAGTTGTAGTCCCATCTGACGAAGAATCGAGCATCGAGCACAAACTGTTAGATATATGAGCGAATAGGATTTGATAGGGTGCATACGAATCGGAAGCAAGCAGACGTATCTGGGTAATGCCGAGATCTGTGCTCGTAACTGGATTGTGTGGATGAATGCGGTGCACTATGAGAGAGAAGTGTATTGGTGCGAGGGTACCGCAAACGACCTGGGATAATTGTACCTACCGACAGTATTACGCGTCACCAGTGCGCGGCATTCAACTAGCAATAACCGCGCCTCAAACACACGTCACTGGTCACGGTACCACCACTGCGCGAAGTCAAACTCTCGTACATTATACATAAACCCACATTACTGAGCATTCATACGTATTACCCACACACCTACATGCACACATATACCACATCGACCCAGCACACAACCACAAAGCAATGCACGCTATTTCAGCACCAACATCACAGTCGACTTGAGAGTAAGCGACCGCTGAATCAGCGACACAAGTGACCAACCAACGGCCGCATGCAGTACATTCAAATAACTACACATCCTACGCAT